TTTCATCTTCCCCCACCCCCATCGAGTAACAGTAGTGTCTAAAGCCAACACTCTCCCACATACGACAAGCGTTACCTCTCTCGGTGGAGAGGGGTAACGGCATGTTTGCCCCTTTGCCCTAGCGTTTAGGGTGCAGGGTTGGGGCCGCCGGTGGGGGCCCGGCTAACACAAGGGCCGAGCATTTGTCAGTAACTGTGCCTCCCTTTTCGTCTTCCCCCACCCCTGTCAAGTAACAGTAGTGTCTAAAGCGAACACTCTCCCACACGCCGCACGCAACCCACTCACACACGCACTCACACCTGTGTTGGCCGAAGCCTTACTAATACCGACTGGGAGGATCCAGCTGACTATCTCAGTTGGTTGGCACCAAGAGTGCTACAGGGTTTTCGTATTTAGTATATTATAATATGATATTATCGACAAGCAACGAGTATCGGATTTAACGGCCGAATTTGGACGGGTCTTAACCAGAGTTGCAAGAAAGCACATTGTAGGGGTTAGTCATGATGAATCTCCCTGATGATGTTGGGTGCGCGGCAATTGAAAAGCGTAAGGGACCACCACCAAACTGCTGCCTTTGATTGACATGTGTAAGGGATGTCATTGTGTTGGTGTATTTGTTTCCGCTGTATACCCTGCAGTCCTCTTGCTCTCTCTCTCTCTAAGGAAATAAAAATTAGAGAATAATTCTGAATAAAATAAATTAGGGGAAAAAACATGGTTACCCTGGACCTGGAGCCTGGACGAATCCGGACGGTCTGTGTCCAGACTGTTTGGATCCGGATTGATCTGGACAAGGAGTGGCCCACCCCCCAGCGGAGAAAAATATTTTTGGTTTCCCTCCCCCCTTCCCCCTTCCCCCTTCCCCCTGCTCTTGGATTTGACTATGAGTTCAATGGCCGTATGACCTTCAACCGAAAGATATTTGTATTGCAATGCTGCATAACATATCTTTTTCCGGAAGGTATTTTTTAATATATTTGAAGAGTTGGAATCTTCCGAACTTAGATGTTTAGTCTGCACAGCATGCGGACCTTGACATCCAGATGGTCTGGGTTGCTCTTCCCCACCCTTCTTTTTCGTTTTCTACACTTCCCCCTTTTTTTCCCTCCATGCATTTGAGGGCTCTCGTTTTGCGTTTTTCTTTTCCTTTTTTCTCCATTTCCTGTTCACTTCTTCTTGCGTTGGAAGCTCTTCTTGTTTCCAGGGAGGCAGCTATTGAGTACATCTCGCAAGGGTGATAGAGGAAAAGGAGGAAGAGAGAAGATGGGGATTGAGCACAGCTTGCAAAGGGGATAGAGGAGGAAGAGGCGGAAGAGAGAAGACAAGGATGAGAGTGGTTGGGAAAAAAGTAATAGGACCTGGACAAGGAACAAGAACATTGGGCAAGAGGGGGAAGAGGGGAAAGAGGAGAGGAGAAGGGGGAAGGAGGGCGAGCGGGAATCAGACGGCCCATCTGGCTGAACGGTACACAAATGTGACCATCAATAAAGAGGCCAGGAGTTCGAGTCCTGATAGAACCAGACGAATACAATAAGGTTAGGGGAGAAAGCAGGAAAAAGAAGAGGACAACGAAGAGGTGGAAGGGGACATCAAATCGACGCGAAGGCAAAAAAAAAAGAAGACGGAAAAGGTGTTGCAGGGAGGGGTACGGAGGTAAGTGCACAGAAACCTCAAAAGCACCGAATGGAGGAGGAATGAAAGCAAATGTGGATTGTCAAACTAGTGGAAGTAAGGGAAGATGGAGCGCAAAAACTCTTCGAGTACAGGAACAACTTAAAAAGTGACAAACGGAAAAAGGAAATTAAAGCTGAAGCTAAAGTGGTGAGGATGGTGAATGATGACGAAGGAAGAGGACGACGAGAAGGACAGAGGACGAAGGTAAGGAGAAGATCAAAGAGGAGATGGGGACAAGGAAAGGAAGAAAAGCAAAGCAGAGGAAAAAGGAAAAGGCCCACCACAACATGTGAAACACATGCAGGAAAAAAAAACCACCAACAAACCATGTGGAACACATGCAGGTCTCACACCTATTTATAGAGTAAAGTGGAGATGGCAGAGGAGGTGGAGGGAGGAACAAGGTTTTGGAGGACAAGGAAAGGAAGAGTGGGAAAGCAGAAGCAAAAAGGAAAAGGCGTGCTACAGACATGTGGAACACATGGAGAGCTCAATTGCACAAACACATTTGCTTGTCGTTTCGTTCACACGTAATCCTTGTTTGGCGAGCGAAATTGCATTCAGAGAACTCGGTACTATTCTTTCAATCAAATGCTGAGCCGACTGGTATGGAAGTGCCTAAAGGACATAGCCCAGCGATCTGGGCCTTGTGCCGAAGGATGGCCCAGATCCACACCTGTCCAATAAATTATTCGTCCTGCCATGCATCTCGGCTGTCCGGAAGGCAAGGTGCAGTCGGTCCTAACTTCTGGGTGATGGACCATTAACCTGGGCTGTGTACCATTGGACGACCCAGATGTTCAGCCAGCCCTAATTTCTTTTGGGGACTGGTCATGGATCTTTGTCATCCACCCAGATGGCTGACCAGGTTTGGGAAACCTGCATGCGGTCTGTATTTGGGGGGGTGGCCTACTGGCTCCCGATGTCTTCTGTTGCCTCTGACAAGTTCAAGGAGTCAGTATGACCTTGCCTGACGCAGAGGAGGGTCTACAGACCCTTATTTTTCACAGCAATTCAGGTCGGCCCTCCTTATGTGTTTGCGGGAGGGCCTTCAGCCCCTGCAACTATGCCACGGGGCACTGCCACCATACGTGCCCTGAGAGAGAGAGAGAGAGAGAGAGAGAGAGAGAGAGAGAGAGAGAGCATTGTGAGGCAAGAGGTCCTAGCGTGGGAAGGAATAACGGAAAGCAGCAGCAAGTAGTAGGGCGGTAACCCTTAGTGTGTTTTTCGCGTTCATTTTGTTTTTCATTTTATGGGCCAAGCCACAGCAGGTTCTTCGGTATGATTTTCAAAGTTCCTTTTCGATTGTAAATCTGTGAGATGTTGAAGGATCTGTCTCTTAACTATTGTCATTTGTGTTTTTTTATTTTAAATATCCAATCTGTGTTCGTGAAAATCTGTGATCCCATATCATTTTCTTTCGTTTTTCTTTTTTACTTGTTACATCGCTAATCCATGTGTTCTTATTGTCCTCCTTGATTGTTTATGTGGTTGGTCTCGACGTCTGCATGCCAGGAGTTCCCACCTACCTTCGTATCGCTCCCCCCCTTCCCGCCCGCTTATACTATGTGGCACAGCAGATCTTCTGGTGTGATTTTCAAAGCTTTTCCTTATTGATTGTAAATCTGCTGTATCTTGATGGATCTGTCTCTGATCTCTGACATGTTTGTGTTTGTGGTTTAAAATTTAAACCAGCAGTACCTTTCCGCGCTTGAAAACAAATGCCTGCCGGTTAACAAGGGAGGCGGGTGGGTTCGGAAGTACTGGCGCGAAATGGCTGGTTGGTGACGCCAGCCAAAACGAGTGATGCTCTGGTTCGTTTTTTTTTTTGGTGCGCAGGTGCATTTTAGGCTCGGCCACGATAGCTGAGAGAGGTACTGGTGGTTTAAACCACCAGTATGTTTCCCTGCTTGGAAAACAAATACGTGCCTGTTAACATGGGGGGGGCGGTGCGGGAACGACTGACCCCACCGAACGACCGACTGTGAAAAAGGAGAGAGAGAGAGAGAGAGAGAGAGAGAGAGAGAGAGAGAGAGAGAGAGAGAGAGAATCACAACGTGTTCGCTGCACACGCACGTGCACACACAAAAAGAAGAGGTAAAAAAAGGTGGCAGTGTATATTTCCATGTTCTGGCAGAATATTCATTCCGATTTTGCTCATCCTATCGATGGAAGTAGCCTCTCTCCATCTCTCTGTGTGCATGCCTGGAAAGCAGTGTATATTTCGATATTCAATCCGATTTTGCTCATCCTATTGGTGGAAGTAGCCTCTCTTTATCTCTCTGCGTGCATGGCTGGACTACTCTCTCTCTCTCTCTCTCTCTCTCTCTCTCACACGCACGTGTAGTAGTGTATATTTCCATGTTCTGGCGGAAGATTCATTTGATTTTGCTCATCCTATCGTTGGAAGTCGCGTGAGGCCAGCCTTGGGGTTGGAGACTTATCTGTTGGCCGGTGCGTTGCTCATCCAATCGATGGAAATCTCTCTCTCTCTCTCTCTCTCTCTGTGTGACACACACACACACACACACACACACACACACAGACAGACACACACACACATATAAAACAACACGTGTAGTAGTGTATATTTGCAATGTTCTTGTGGAAGATTCATTTGATTTTGCTCATCCTATTGATGGAAGTACTGTGAGGCCAGCCGCAGGGTTGGAGACTTACCTGTTGGCAGGTGCGTTGCTAATCCAATCGATGGAAAACTCTTCTCTCTCTCTCTCTCTC